AACGAGAAGTTGAATGTGACTAGCCACATTATCTATGTACTAGCGTTACTTTTAATGGTGAATGACCCTAAAATAAATTATTACCACATTATTAGTTACTCAAAAAATGATAATTAGTGATTAGTTAAATCCCCCGTTGTTAGATTTTGTGCTATTATAGACAGAGTTTGAGAGCTACTTTTGGGCAATTTATCGGAATAAAAGATTGTATCGAGTGCTATAGAATGAGAGAGAAGTTCTTCCCATGTATAAAGACGAGCTACGAGCAGCCCCTTCTCCACCTCCCATAACCGTTGCTTCTAGTTCTCTTATGAATTTATAAGAGAGAAACCTGCCGTTACAGATAAAAATAGATATAAAACATATATGGGTTTGGATCATTTGTACTACTTATATGTAGTCGTTTTTAATTGCATAAACTTTTATGTCATATAGTCAACATTATATAGGATAATTAATGTTTTTTCTATCGTGCATTTTATTTGCTTCATCAGCGCATAAGTTAATTTTGATTACATTTGATGGTTTGAGTGATTAATAGGATGAGTTAAATTAGGTGATTAGTTTGAAACTTTTCGAAATCAAGTGATTAAGTTGAAACACGCACAAAAGTTTTCTTGCTGTTGTGACAAAATGGTTGAGGTGCTAAGTGCTTGATCCATTTTCTTCTCATGTGACGTCCAACTAAGGTAATTTATGTAAATTTTGCTGTAGTGACAATCATGAAATTAAACGATAAATGGCTTTGAAGTTCTATGACTTTTTGGATAGCCATAAGATGCAATTCATTCTCTGGTAATTGTAAAAAATAAAAAACCAAGCACTTCTTCTTGAGTATTGACAACGAACTTGATTAGTCGCGATAAAACGTTAATGTTTGAAAGGACTATGAGACATGAATTTGGTCCCATGTTGCATTGTTCTCTTTGAGTTAACTAAAAAAATCGTTATATAAGCATCATCTTAATTTGGATTTTGTACAAGTATAATATATTTCTCTTTCATACTTTATACTAGTTTTTTAGAGTAGTCGTCTAAATTCATAAAGAATTATTTCAAAATTCAAATTACATGGGAAATATCTAAGAAGCTATGAGTTTAAAATTCACTATCGTTCTCAGGGTTTTGCCATTTGTACCCGGGCGTCTATACGCCCGGGTACACGACCCCACCGCCCCCCTCACAATGAGGGGGGCTGCCCATGAATAAAATAATGGGCGCCCCCTCCCCCCTCCATTGTGAGTGGGAGGCGTGGGGTCGGGTACACGGCCATTACCTGTAGCAAAACCCTCGTTCTTAACACAGCTAACGCGATAATTTTTGCCTTAATTTTAAGATCAAAAGCTAATTTACGATTTTGATTTTAACAACCTAAAGTTTTCATGAGAACATTGAGAGTAATCCACTTTTGCTTAGAGTGTCATATTTGTGTGTAATATTAGTGTCAATTTTCCGATTTTACCCTCTTGTTGTTTAAAGTGCTTTCGTGGAAAGAGAACGGGATTGGACACAACATGAATTGTGGAAATTTATTTTCTAATGCCTTCAATTAGTGCAGGTCATAGTCACAAAAGTGTCAGGATAAATGGAGAATACTTTCCAACGATCACTTTTCTTCTAAAAAGGAAGTGAAAAATCTTGGCTAAAACTGGCGCTTTAACCATTGGCTCAATTTTGATTCAATACTTTGACCAATTCTTGAGCCAATAATTCCATAATTCGTGCTAAAACAAGTACGACAATTAATTTATTACGCCTTTTAGAACAGTGATATAGGAAGTCATTGATTAAACAAGTATGACAATTAATTTATTATCTGTTTCCAATTTAATTTTACCAGTTTTTCAAGATCTATTTTTCTAAATTAAATAAAATTACTAATTTATTTATATAATTTTTTTTTTCTTTCATCACAACTTCAATTCCGATTCAGCCTTTTGAGTCTCGTCTCTTTACTTTTTCCGCATCAATTGTATGGCTTATTTAACATAACTCAAGACACTAGTTGGTGCAAAAATGTTGTAACATAATTCTCAATCAATGACTTTGATTCGCTTGACATAACTGGTAAATATGATATATAACATTACTGTGTAAACTTATAATTTGGAACTCAACTGCAAATTTATGTGAGATTCTATTCCATAAATAAAAACTGAAAATCAATAGTGATGAAGTCAAGTCTTCATTATTTGTTTTTATTACAAAAAAAGTTCCATATATTGCTTATTTAATTAATTATTTTTAATAAGATTTACGTGTTGTTTGATGTAGATTTTTTCTAAAATAAATTTATGAGAAATAATATTCTTGGAGAATGTGATTAAAAATAAATGTTAAAAAATGGATTTTAACATTTATTGTACCAAATATGAGCATAAATTGAGAAACAAATAATCAATAATTTTAATATTAATTAAAAATAAGCAAGTTTATTTAAGCGATAAAATAAAATTAATTAAAT